ATCCTTAAAGTAACTTCGATAGGTTAAAGGATCTTAAACACGGAATACTGGATAATTATAGAACATTTGGCTGAATCAAGAGTCCTGAAACTAGATTTTTGAATAATTACAAGATATATAAATTTGACTTTTAGTTAATAAGTGGATTTTGAACATAGATTATCAGATGATTAAAAGGATACTGACATCTGAATTTTATTGATTAAAAACCCTAGAACGCAGATAAAATTCTGAACCTCGTTAATGTTACCATGGTAGAAAGGTATAGGTTAGGATTAGTTTATATTTGAGAATTATTATTTATAAATGTAAAAAACGTCCCTACCACCCCAACGCTATATGTTAGACACAAAATTTCCCCATGCCACTACAACCAATATAAATAAATTAACCTTTAGCAACTGATTGGCCAAGAAAATATATATCTAAATATAAAATAAAAGTATTAAGACAAATAATAGTTTTGGGGGACAAAGATCCCGGGATTAACACATGATATATAAAATCAGGCGACTATTTATACATAATGATTAATAAACTTATAAATATTTTAAAAAATATATTTTACGATAAAAATTAGTAAAAAAATTATTTTCCATATAAAAAATTATTTTCCATATAATAATATATGAATATATTTAAAAATTTTATTTTGTTTCTTAAGGCTGTGTCCTAAATGATAAATAGTAAATTTTTGTAAATGACGGAAAGTGATTTAGAATATTACTTTATTTTTACATTGAGTTTATGTTATTTTTTTCTTCAAAATTAATAAATTAATTTATTTATATTTTTCCACAGGACACAACCTAATAAATTTATTTACGATTAAAGTCTTATTTCCTTGGTCCTGTAAAGAACTGACGTTGAAGTACGTTAAAAATAGTTATGTTTTCTGCCATTGTCAGCACTATATTGCAGGTATTTGGCCATATTAGAATTTTTTCTTGAGCCTTCATAGTTAGGCAGATCTCAATACATGAACTCTCCTGTGGCAGCTAAATTGCTTTCATGGCTTGAAGTTTGGTTTGGATCATTTTTTGAACTTTAATGACTTAATCTAAAGGTCCCTTAATAGTATTTACCAAATCAAAATTGTCTATATCTCTGTATCTCCTTGATACTGTGATTTTGACATCAGACTCTACTATAAATTGTTTGACATTCTTTCCATTTTTTCCAATACCAATTAACTTATTGTGTGCCAGAATTTTAAGAGATGTCTCACTTCTCCACTTTATTTCAACTTCTTCACACATTTATTCTAAAGTCCTTTTGCATGCCTCTGTACAGGCTTACAATAAAACACTCATTTTTGTCCTGCCAGTCACTATTTAGGGATATATCTCTAGGTTTCATCATAAAATTTTTTCCTTCATTTGGATTGATTTTCTTAAATACATGTATCCATACATGACTTTGTTGAACGATGGCCCTAATAGTCTTTATCAATTTTAGCCTATCATTTCACTAGGAACTGCTACCTTTAAAGGAAATTCGGAAACTTTAGGTTCAATGAATGTTGCTTGACGAAAATATATTACAAGATGAAACGCCTTTACTAATATTGTTACTGGAGGAATTGGGATTGACATTATAATTTCTTGTAAACCCTATAGGTGGAATCCTATTAGATGGCCTTACGTCAATGACGAAGCTTGCATAGAAACAAGGAAGTTCCCTTGAAATGTATCCTATAAAATTCTTATATCTTAATATAATCTTTGTAATATGTTAAAAATAGTTAAAAAAAATTAATAAAATTTTTAAAACGTTATAATATTAATATTATTTTGAGAAGTATTACTATTATTTTTAGTACGCAATTACTATTTTTTTTACTATGTTTTTACTATTATATTTACTACGTTAAAAAATATACATGAGGGAAGCAAATTTAATATTGCTCATTTTTTTTAATAAATAAAGAGAAAATCATGCGCATGTATTTTGTAATCATGTGAAAAATAAACATTGAGGAAGCAAATAAAATAATGTTATTTTTTAAATAAATATAAGATAAAAAAATATTTTATATTATTTTTTTTTTCCTAACTTTAAATAACAAAATTTTACTCTTTTTAAAGCAATAATTAATGTTTAATAAGTAATTATATTATTAAAAATATATTAAGATTATCAGAGTTGTATAAAAAGTATCTATCTATATATATATATACTGTTTTAGAGGCATCTGTATCTGTTTATAGATATTTTTTAAGATACATTTTGATATACTTTTATTTAACGTTTCTTATTTAAAAAATAAAAATATTTAAGCGAAATTTATCTTATAAGTAATAAAAATATTAAGACTAATATAATAAAAATATACACATTTTTTTCCCCCATTTATATCTATAAATATCAGTTCAAGATTGTGAGGGATATTTATATCCTTCATAGGCGTAGTCATGGGGGGGGGGAAAGGGGAAATCTCCCCCCCCCCCACCTTTAGAAATTTATCACTCTTTGTGAATATCATTTTAAGCTAATAAAAATACCTCCCTTAATCCTTCCCCTACCCCCAGACCCCTGTATGCATATATCTTAAACAATAATTTGAAAGAAAGAATGTAAAAGTTGATATTTTTTTATAAAACTATTCATCATAATTTATAAATTTTTGGAAAAAAGCATTTATATATAAAAAGGTGAACCAAAAATGTTTTTTAAGAAATGGAATATAACCAAAGATAAGTCTTAAGACAATAGTGAAATGTATTATAATTATAAAATAGATCCATAAAATTACTAAATAATATAATATACATAATTTTTATAAAGTGAGTAATTTTAAATTATTTATCTTAATAAAAGTAAAATATAATTATAAAACTATTGATAAAATAAATTAAATAAAAAAATTAAACCACAATACAAACAGTGGAATATTATATGTCGTAGATTTACAGTATATCTAATTTTATCAATTATCATATGACAATCAAGTAATTTTTACCAATATAGCGAATTATAAATTTTATAGAAAACAATTAAATATTGATAAGGACATCAGAAATTCTTTATATACATTGTTGGATGAATAATATGAAGATTAATTTTTAATATCATATTTTATTTAAATAAATAGATGGCGTTAATTGAATGTAAATTGTGCTATATTTATTATCAAGAGCATTGATTTGTAAAATTTACTAAAATATTAACTGTAATATATTCTCTAACTGTCAAATATGTCTGTAAAAGTTGAATTTTACCTAGTATTTTGTAACTAATTCTATATAATAGAGGAATATAAACTATATGTCTACTTACTTTTTATAAATAAATTTTTAATACTTGTTTGGAATAAATTATTACCATGCTTTTATATTAATGTATAACAAGTTATTTATTATATTTTATATAAACTAATAAAAATATATTTCATATTTGTTCCAGGCAATGACATATAATAATACCTAGACTGACGATTCATTCATTAAAATGCATTTTTAAGCGTCGTTAAAAGCAAATCAGCTGGACCCGCCATTTTGGTAACCTTTATAATAATTATTTTCATGTTAAAAACTAATATTAAATTGATAACTTACTTTCTTATTATCTCGATGATCAGGCAATTCTTTAATAAAGTTTGCATCAGATATAATATAAATATAGGCTCTCGTTTAAAATTTTAATATTTATTACAGTAACCAAGATGGCGTCTCTAGCTGATTTGAATTGATGTACACTTTTAATGAATGAATCGTCAGTCTAGGTATTATTATATGTCATTGGTTCCAGGCGTATTTTTTTTATTAAAATTAACCTCCTATCATGTAAAAATATTTTATGACTATATATAGAGTAAGGTAACCCGGTCGAAGGCCGGGCAAATGCGTGTTGAAGGCCCGCCCCAAATAGGGTCTGGAGGCGAAGCCCCTAGTAATTTTTTAATACCCCCCCCCCTTTAGGAAAATCTTGGCTACGCCTATGTCCTTCAAAGGAATTTATAAATCCAAGCTTAACCATGACGCCCATTAATTATAAACAATACCATTGGTGCCTAAAATTATTTTAAGCATATAAACTTATTTAAAATTTTGTAAAATGCTAACTTTTAATGAATAAATTATAAGTTTAAAAAAATTTTTAATATATTTTTGATTTAGACTGAAAAAAACTTATTAAAAAAATTTAAATCTAAAATTACTTTTATAATTTAGTAATTGATCATTTTATTCAAAAACAAAGACAAATTCTTATTTATATATTTTAATTTTTTATGATTTGATAATAAATAAAAATTAAAAAAATTTTCGATTGCTTATCTAGTAGTAAACTTTACGCTTCGTCACTGCGTAGCGTCATGCTTTGGATGTATTTTAATTTGCATTTTTATGGTTTTTTCTGTATGATAATTCAGTTCTTTTTTGTTTATGATGTTTTTCTATCGAATTAGTTTCATGGTGCTCCATATCCCAACTGATCTCTGCATGTTTTGGTAAAATAGTGAAATCAGCCGGTATCTATATGCATGGTCGTTACTCGTTAGTATCAATTTTTATCGTGATTTTGTATGCAATCGTATATGTCGTTCGTGTTTTGGTCCTGGTTGTTTATATTTATGTTCAAAAAGGATGAGCCTGTTTATATTATAACTATCACAATGACATATATAATACCTAGACTGACGATTCATTCATTAAAATGCATTTTTAAGAAAATCAAATCAGCTGGACCGGCCATTTTGGTAACACATTTAGTAATTATTCTCATGTTAAAAACTAATATTAAATTGATAACTTGCTGTCTTATTATTTCGATGATCCGGTAATTATTTAATAAAGTTTTAGATATAGGAATAAATTAGCCTCTCGTTTATAATTTTAATAATGATTAGTGAAATCAAGATGGCGTCTCCACATGATTTGCATTGATGTACACTTTTAATGAATGAATTGTCAGTCTAGGTATTATATATGTCATTGATGTGTGTCAATATTTTGTGTGATCTATAGAATGACAGGTAATCAATCTCTGATGCAAAATTTTTGTATATTCGCCTTACATTAATGGTTCGAAAATTAAAATATCACGAGAAAAAGTTATTGAAAAAAGTTGATTTTATATCCTGGGAATGTGATAATAATATACATGAATTAAAAATAATGAAAAGATATGGTGTCAGAAGTAGAGAGGATTATACTAAGTAAGCTAAATAGTAATTAATTTTAACTTTCAGATATAATTTATTGTCTCGCGAAATTCGAGATTTAGCCAGAAAATTTAACGACTTAAACGATGATGATCCCTTAAAAATTAATGGGACTGCTCAATTATTAGATAAATTGTAAAGTTTTATTAATTATCATATAACACATAATATAGATATGAAATGGGTTTGATCTCACATAAATCCACATTGGAAGTAGCAAATAAAATTACTGCTTCATCCTTCTGTAGGTATGATATTTTATATTTACCAGATAGTTATTTCAGATACAAAGGAGAAGGCTGCCTTGCATGATGGTTAAAAACAAAATGTCAGAAAGAGTGAAAGTTTCTACCCAATTTATTGAACAAGGACGTAAGCAATATATAATTTTATATATTTAAAAATAAAATACAATTTTGGTATATTTAAGCAAACATCTTTTTTTTTAGTTTTCTCAATTAATAAATACTAGAGGACATCCTAGCTTACTTCTTCCATCTTGCATTTAAAAAATGCAATGTTTCCTCATCAATTATATATATTTATTTACTATATTCTATTTTTAAATGGCTTATTTTAGGGAAGTGAAATCCCAGAATAGAATGGGTCATGAAAGAATATTATTTTAAATAATTTAGGCTGAGTATAAAATGGCAAAAAAATATATACACAGGGTTTTTATTAAAAACTATTCATTTATGATGTATTAGGCCAGCACAAGTCAAATGTTTGATTCATTTTGAATGAGGCATTTTGTGCTGCCTGGCTTATGGCTATTAAATATAAACACTGATATTGACAATATTTTTGATGGAAAATATAAAAATTGATTTATACCATCTTAGTTGCTAATATATAAAATGTTGACAAAATTTTTGAGATGGTAAATATAAAAACTAGGGATGTACCGATATTTTTTATTGGATTTGGGTCAATATTTTGCCCATTTTCAAATATCTATTATCTGTCAATTTTATAAAATTTTCCGATTCAATCCAATATAAAATGGCGTCTTCAACAAAAAATAAAATGTTATAAAATTTTTAAGAAAAGTTATATCTAAAATCATTTATATTGATAATTTTTTTAATAATAAAAAATTAATAAACATTCTTCCATATTGTTATTTTTTGCACATTTTGTCTATAAAAGAGCAATAATCTCTTCAAAATCTGTTTTTAATGAAGCTGGTGATATTGACAGTTACCATCGCCTCAGGCTGACCTCTGATAAATTGGAAATTTTGCTATTTCTAAAAAGAAATCTTCAATATATTAATGTTAAATATTATTTAAAATATTTATATCAAATTTCATAATATGTTTGTTTATTACTTATTATGTATATAGATGTTATTACTTATTATATAAAAGTGATTTAACAATAAAAATATTTAATATACTTTTAGAATTGCAATTTAATTTATACTATAACTGATCATTATAATATATTTTAATAACATAAGTTAAGGTATAGTTAAATTATAGATTATACTAATAAAAAGTATATTAAAAATTAAAACTATTGATATCTTTACAAAATACAAAATTAGATATGATATCGGATCAGTAATTGGCCGATATCAATTTAATATCAGATTAGCTTCCAAAAAGTGGTATCGGTACACCCCTAATAAAAACTGATATATACCAATTATTGAAGTATGCAAATATTAAAAATGCCAACTTTCAAAGTGGTTAAATATAAAAATATAATATAAATACATTAATATTTCATTATTCAAATCTTCAATAGCTTCTTAATGTTATCTTAGAATAATAAAGTGCATCATGGTTTAAAAAATAGACAGCTGATATTATACTAATAAAAATATATTTATAATTTAAAAAATTTATATGTCCTATTTTCTACAAATAAAGATGTAGAAATTTTTTCATCTGATAGATAATTCTCAGAAAGTGTATACAACATCCAGTTTACCTTAGAATACTATTATCAGAAAATCTATTTTATACATTTGAATTTGAAAAATGGAACAAAAAAAAATATCTTTCATAGTGATTCAATTCAAACATAGTTAGAACTTAGAAGCCACTTTTTATTTAAGGTATATAATATTATAATTTCTGACTTTATTATAAATAAAGAAATTAGAATTTAAAAATTAATATTATATTTGTATAAAATTATATAATAAATTTAATATATTGATAAAATTCCTGGAAATAATTATCAGGGTAGCTGTTATGTTATCTCTTAAATTTTAATATAATGAACAAGAATAAATAATATAGAATAAATTGTGGGTGATTGTATTGAATAACTACGGAAGATTGAAGGTTAAGAATATATCATCAATTGTAGAATGTGGAATCCGTGAAGATTAGGAATATTAATAATTAAGTTCTTTATTTTCAACTAAGATCAAATAAAAACAAAAAGGTGGAAGTAATCATGATCATTTAAGTATATATACAAAATTAACATCAATTTAATATTCAAATAAAATCATTGTATAACTTTTCAAAACATCAATTTAATATTAAAGCCTTAAGACTTCTACAATACAAAATCCATTAATAAATATTGTTACTTGTATTTAACATAATATATATTTAAAATATTAATTTCATACATAAATAATATAATTTGTAAGAACTTCATTATTAACCCTATTAAAATATATCTTCTCACTTTAAGAAAAAATGATATAAAATCAGGTAACGAGTTTAATTTAAATTATTTTATTCAATAAAAATATTCATTTCATATGCAATTATTATCTAAATAAAGACATATTTAATGACATTCTTATCTTATCTTATCTAGCACGTTGGTCATAGACCTGCCCAAAATGAGCGAACGGGAATTTTATGAAGGCCCACCCTTCATAAAATTATGCCGATTTTTTTTCTCAAGGATACCAACAAACCTTGTACCCAGTTTTAGTTTAACTAAATGAGTGGAATTTACCCATTCCGATATTGTAATTGTAATTTATAAATTAATAATATAAAGACATATATTTCTTATTTGTTTTTTAATCTTGAATAGTTATATTCATGATAAGGAATGAGTTAAGTATTTGAATCCATAGACATCAAAATTCCATTTCATTTGTTAGGTTATATTCTTCCAAAAGATGAACCGGAAAATTTTCGCCATTTGGGATGGATAGATGAATGGAAATACATTTTAATTAAAATATAAAATGTGAATAAAAATATACTCAACAACAATTATAAAACCAATAAATTTTACAAGGTTTTTTAAAATATTTTTTGACATTTGAAGTGGAACCAACAATGCATAATCATCTAAAGAAAGTAACATTTCTGACAAATCCAGGACTCTGCCTTTATATGTCTTTTAAATTTTGAACTTGCACCCATGCATCACTTGTTACGTATGATTTTATTATTTCAAAATCCACTTCATCATTTTTTAGATATTGCATATCACTTGTAATGGTAAGAATGCCATCAATATCATCCATTACATTATTATAAATTTTATTTATCCTTTGTAATCCATTTAGCATTGTGTTCTTTGGATAATGTTGTAAAATAGCTTTCCTGAGAAAAATAAATATAGAAATAATATTATCCAAATTTTTGAGCTGTGTATCACCTAATTTTATATATTTGAATATTGATTAAATCTTTAAATATTAATATCAGTAACTTGCAGTTATTCTTATTTATTGATTTTGGAAATTTATAAACTCCATTTGAGAATTATTTAAATTTGTTTTTCTGGTTAAAATAATAACATAAATTTTATTATGATAGATAAATACCTTTTACTATGTCATAGCAAATAGGTATACTTTTAATACTAATATTATATCTGTCTCTTTATTAAAATTATAATTATCCTTCCCTTTTAGTTAATCTAATATAATTTTATTATATGAAATGTTTTATTAAGATAAATGGCATTATATTTACATGCGACGTTTAATTCTATGGATAATTTTAAAAAATTAGCAGCCATATATGATAAAGAAAATTTAATAAATTTCATTTATAAACCAGAATTGATGAGACCTCCATGTAGCAGTGCTAAGGAAACTAAAGGGTATTTTATGGGTGCAAATATTCATTAAAAAAGAGGCCAAGATCATCAAGAATAAAAAGGATATCCCAACTCATTATTTTCCTCATGTATTTGTTTGCCCCCTTATCCTCTTAATTAATTTATAACCTCCATCAATATATGCTTGAAGGCTTGTTTGTTAGCCAATAGATTGTGGATATCTCTCAATATTACCAAAATTTTGACTGTTCTGTTTAGGTGCAATAGATAATCAAGATCATTACCTGTTTAATGGTTTAGGGTTGGTTTGGATCCTAGAATGCACCCCACCAAGGAAGTAAGCTTAGGGTGCCTTTAAATTTAATCTTATGTAATTTATCTTATATATTAACTATATAACCACTTAATAAATTAATTTCTTTATCTAAATTATGGATAGATGTTAGAATTGGAACAGAGCTCATTTTGGACCCTGCATATTTTGTTACAAGGTAAAAAAAAGTACATGTTTAAATATTATTATAATTAATATATTGATATAGGAGTATGGAAGATTATGTAACATGGGTGGATTCCTCTAAGATAAAACAACACATTTTAGAGTACAATGATATGGTTAGTTATCTATTTAAAATATGTTTAAAGCTAAATATCCTTTTTAAAAATTATGACTGATTATTTTTCAGATGATAAAAAGTTATTCTAAAGAATTGAATAATTTACTTTTCATAATTAAACCAATCGAATAAGAATATTTTTTATGATTTTGGAGCAGGATTTTTTACAATCGAATGTCCTTGCTGACATCAATCTCTTTAGGTGGTTTTTACACCCTGTCAAGGAGACGGTGATCATATTCTAGACCCAGACCACAGAGAACATTTTAAAGTTCCATTAGCCGCAAGTCTAATATGACGTGAATAGAAGAATAAGAATGTTTTACAATATTATTGTTCTTACAAATACGAATAGTAAAATATACAATTCGTTCATAAGAATCGAATACAAATAATTCATTTCGATTCGGTATTTTTTTGGATAGGCTTAGTTCATAATCGTACAAACAAATTTCTATTTTTGCTATAACATTTTTTTCAAATTAAATAACTTTTAACAACTAGGGGAAGGGGAGTAGTTTGCCCTCAAATCTTGATATATCTTTACCCTAAGAATAATTTCTGGTGTTTATAGTAGGTTCTTTATTAATTTCAAAAATTTATAATTGTGATTAACCCTGAATTCACAGTTAGCGCGAATTCGCAGCGAAATGGATACTTTTCTAAAAAATATATAATAACGGTTTCACTTTTTAATTATAATTAATTAATTCTTTACTTATAAAACAGAGATTCTTAAAAAATCATCTAAATATATTATGTGGAATAAAATACCAACCCCCCCCCCCCCGGTCTTGTTTAAAAGCTAATGAGAGTGTAAATCATATTTTCTTGAAATGAACAAAAAAAATTTTAAATGGAAAATAAGGCTAATAAGAAAATTTGAGTAGAAACGAGTGGGCTGGGTATTCGAAAATTTACGAATACAGTTAGGGTTGATCTTTATATTAAAAGTGGACGTTATTGCATTTAAAATAATTACTCTACAAATTGTTGCAAATGGTAAACTTTAAATTTTTAATATCTCGCCCAATTTCCTGATTTTTTGTCCTAAAATAATACATGTTTCAAATAGTGTTTAAGGCTTACAAATTGAGCAGGAGCGTTTAGCTTTGCGTTTTTCTAAAAAAACGCTTCTGAACGTTGTAATGTATTATTTGAAATTTGAGGGAAAACGCTTCACTTCGTGCACTATAAGTTTTTTTTCTTCCATATCTTTATACACGTATTATATATATTAAAAATTATTTTATGCTTTATTTAGAAAGATGATTTTGAAGGCGTATGAAGAAGCTGTTATAATTCCTTTTATTGTACATTACACACAATATGGATACTATATATAATCATGTTAGATTTAATAAACGAGCCACGGTTACCAATAAATTTTTATCGACATTCATTCACGATGACAATGGTATAAATGCATAGTGTTATGTAAGCCAGTCGCGTCTTTAGGGAAATCAATTTGAACAATCTAAAAGAATTTTTTTTTAGAACGTCTAAATGATAAGATATAAAGATTTAACAGCGTCAATGATTTAAAAAACTTTAAAATAATTATTACAAAAGAGTTTTTTTTATAGTTATAGTGAGAAACACTAAAAAAAATTATTCAAATTAAACAAGGGCAAATTTTTGAATACTTTGTAACCACGTATGTTTTTTCACTTGTTTGTAAAAGTTTTCATTTATTAAAGAGATCCCAGGTTATTAAATTTAATGTTTCATTTTTTTGTGACGAAAATGTCCAAAAATATTTTTGTAGATTTTATTAATTATGGTCCTTTATTTTACCTCTGAATTTATCAATGTAATTTGTTTTTATTTAAAACTCGAATTTTTGCTTTTTACTGCATTTGACCAATACTTGCATGATATCCAGATTTCCGTTATATAGGTATTCCTTTGAACTTCAATTAGAAGTCCAGTTACTTTGCCAATCTCCTGCCTGAACGCCAGAATTGTTCAGATCTCTTCATCAATACACTTATTTATTTGGAATTCAGTTAAAATGAAGAGAAGTTATAAATTCAATGGAATTTGAAAACTAGGTTACTATAAATTAAATACATTTAAAAACGCTACAAGAAAAAAAGTTTTTTTTTTAAAATGAGTCATAATTTTATCTTAAATTAATGATTGGGTCAAGTTAAACTTGATCGATTAGAATGGTTTCATGTCACAACTGTGTTACATTGATTTGATTATGCCCTATTTGGCTGGCTATGGAGGACTAGCAAAAATATATTAGGAAATCACATTTATTATATAAATTCGTTTAGTTTGAACATATTAAGTAAATAGCATTTTAATTAATAAATACTTGGTTAATTTTAGGTCAAATACATTAGAATCTGTCCAACTGGCGAGTCTGCTCATTGGCACACAAGCCTGATTCATAGACATAATCACTTAATTTTTTTTTTACAATTTAAAATATCATAGCATACAAAGTAAATTCAATATTTTACTCCCTTGTCACGTAGAGTTGTTAAGGAGCGCCGCTACATTTTTTCAAAAACACTTGGAGCGCACCCCTCCTTTTTAAAAATGAGAAGTGGGAGGTAGCTCCTTTTAGGAAATTTAATGTATAAATTAAATTATTTTTTAAATATTAATAATATTTGTTAATAAAAATGAAATTTTATTTAAATTTATCCATTATTAAATGTTTAGCCGAGTTTTATATTGGTTTTTCATCTAATCATTTTAAATATTATATACATCAATTTTCTTTTTTATATTGAAAATTTTTTGGAAAATCTTTTAAGTCATACTAATATTCATTTTATATAATAAAAATTAGTTTTCGATATTATGGATTTCGAGATAGATGAGAAATAGAATTTTCATTTCCATCATACAAAAAATATTTTTAACTTCTAAAAGATATTGATCCAAATGATCAAACAAATTTAAGGGCAAAATGCCTTATAAAACTATTTAATTTTCAAAGGTAAGCAGCTTCAATCTAAAAAGCATCTAAAAGTAAAAAATCTTTCTTTTAAATACAAAAATGATTTGTGGAAGATTTTTTCTGGATTCCATGAAATTGTTTATCAGGAAGATAATATATTGGACAAATATTTTTTAAATAATGATAACAAAATTACTATTTTTGATAAATTCCCTGAATTAAAAAATATCTTATAAAATACAATACCCCGCTTCCCTCTAGTACTCCTGTGGAGCGCCTATTTAGTATTGCAAAAGAGGTCTTAAAAGAGGCGTGGATGTTAGCTCCGTGAAGTTGGACGAACGATTGGAAGCACTAACGATGAATCATATGTCATTTTTTAGTGCTTCAATCCGTATAGTAGCCGAATTTAAGGAAAAAAAGTTATAGGCAAATATAAAAATTTGTGCCAACTTCACGCTTAAAAGTCGATTGGAAGCACTAACGATGAAACTTATATCATTCTTTAGTGCTTCGTTAGTAGAGGTTAGTGCTTCAATCCATTTTGTAGCCGAATTTATGAATAAAAAGTTATTCACGAAAAAAATAAAAATAAACAAATATTGGCGACGTGCCAAAACAAAAACTAGAGTAGTACTTAACATCTGGTTTTCGCCATTATTTAGTGCTTAATTAATGTATTTAAATTCCATTATAATTTACCTAACCGCCTTATAAAAAAAAGTTATAAGGTAAATAAAAATTATGACGTCACGATTTAAGCGTGAAGTTGGCCGAACTTTTGGAAGCACTAACGATGAAACTTATATCATTCTTTAGTGCTTCGTTAGTAGAGGTTAGTGCTTCAATCAGTTCCGTAGCCGAATTAAAGAATAAAAAGTTATTCACGAAAAAAACAAAAATAAACAAATAATGGCGACGTGCCAAAACAAAAACTATAGGAGTACTAAACATCCGGTTTTCGCCATTATTTAGGGCTTAATTAGTGTATTTAAATTCTAATTTATTTTATTAACCGTCATATGAAAAAATTGTAACACGCTAAAGAAATTTTTAGAGGTCAAATTACGGCTGGAAAATTATGAAAGCACTAACGATAAAACTTATATCATTCTTTAGTGCTTCGTTAGTAGAGGTTAGTGCTTCAATCAGTTCCGTAGCCGAATTTAAGAATAAAAAGTTATTAGCAAAATAAAAACTATGACGTCACGATTTAGGCGTGAAGTTGGCCGAACTTTTGGAAGCACTAACGATGAAACTTATATCATTCTTTAGTGCTTCTTTAGTAGAGGTTAGTGCTTCAATCAGTTCCGTAGCCGAATTAAAGAATAAAAAGTTATTCACGAAAAAACAAAAATAAACAAATAATGGCGACGTGCCAAAACAAAAACTATAATAGTACTAAACATCCGGTTTTCGCCATTATTTATTCTTAATTAGTATTTTTAAATTCTGTAATTTATTTTGTTAACCGTCATATAAAAATATTGTAACACGCAAAAGAAATTTTTAGAGGTCAAATTTCGGCTAGAAAATTATGAAAGCACTAACGATGAAACTTATATCATTCTTTAGTGCTTCGTTAGTAGAGGTTAGTGCTTCAATCAGTTCCGTAGCCGAATTTAAGAATAAAAAGTTATTCACGAAAAAAACAAAAATAAACAAATAATGTCGACCAAAACAAAAACTATAGGAGTACTAAACATCCGGTTTTCCCCATTATTTAGTGCTTAATTAGTGTATTTAAATTCCGTTATTAATTTGCTTAACCACCTTATAAAAAAAGTTATAAGCTAAATAAAAACTATGACGTCACTATTTAGGCGTGAAGTTGGCCGAACTTTTGGAAGCACTAACGATGAAACTTATATCATTCTTTAGTGCTTCGTTAGTAAAGGTTAGTGCTTCAATCAGTTCCGTAGCCGAATTTAAGAATAAAAAGTTATTCACGAAAAAAACAAAAATAAACAAATAATGGCTACGTGCCAAAAAAAAAACTATAATAGTACTAAATATCCGGTTTTCGCCATTATTTAGTGCATAATTAGTATTTTTAAATTCTGTAATTTATTTTGTTAACCGTCATATGAAAATATTGTATGTAACACGCAAAAGAAATTTTTAGAGGTCAAATTTCGGCTAGAAAATTATGAAAGCACTAACGATGAAACATATATCATTCTTTACTGCTTCGTTAGTAGAGGTTAGTGCTTCAATCAGTTTTGTAGCCGAATTTAAAAATCAAAAGTTATTTGCGAAAAAAAGAAGTAATGGCAACCTTCCAAAACAAAAACTATAGGAGTACTAAACATCCGGTTTTCGCCATTATTTAGTGCTTAATTAGTATATTTAAATTCCGCAATTTATTTTGTTAACCGTCATATGAAAAAATTGTAACACGCTAAAGAAATTTTTAGAGGTCAAATTTCGGCTGGAAAATTATGAAAGCACTAACGATGAAACTTATATCATTCTTTAGTGCTTCGTTAGTAGAGGTTAGTGCTTCAATCAGTTCCGTAGCCGAATTAAAGAATAAAAAGTTATTCACGAAAAAAACAAAAATAAACAAATAATGGCGACGTGCCAAAACAAAAACTATATAAGTACTAAACATCCGGTTTTCGCCATTATTTAGTGCTTATTTAGTATATTTAAATTCCGTAATTTATTTTAGTAACCGTCATATGAAAAAATTGTCACACGCTAAAGAAATTTTTAGAGGTCAAATTTCGGCTAGAAAATTATGAAAGCACTAACGATGAAACTTATACATTTAGATCTCATTATTATCAATATAATTATGCAGAAATTCTGATAGTTACCTGATTCATTATAGCATATCAATAATTCAAATTTTCTGACACCTCTTTAGAATCTTAAGAAATCAAATTGATTATGTTTCTATAGATAGATATGATTAATTGTATTCAAACTCTTCTCTAGAAATTATCAAAACAACTAAAGGAGTTATTAATAAAAATGCAAGTCCAACTCCACTTAGTGGTCGAAAATATAATCCTCAAGCGTTATATCTTTTTATTGGAAAACTGTTACTCGATAATATAAATAGATTGTAGAATAAGAGAGTTATATTTTTATTCGAATATTATAACTAAAATATTGATGGAAGAATAAAGAAGGAAAAAATTATAAAAAATGTATGATATAATTTTCAACGAATAAAGCAGCAATTAGCGAAAATAAGCTTATAAGCAATAAAACATTCTATATAACAAATACGAATATAATAGGAATATAGTTTAAAAAATCTTTATGGCATAGCTATAAATAATATTTAATTTTTTAATACATATAATGCAATATAATTTTATTTGAATTGTATAGGATAATTTTCAATTCACAATTTCTGTTGTCACAAATGTAATAATTTATTTAGGGGTCGTGTAAAATCATTTGATTTGATAAGCTACTCCCAAGATAAAAACATTCTTCAATCCTAAAAACATATATATTATTTATTTGATATTTTAAGTGAATTGAAAATTATCCTATACAATTCAAATAAAATTATATTGCATTATTTGTATTAAAAAATTAAATATTATTTATAACTATGCCATAAAGGTTTTTCCTTTAGCGTTTTACAATTTTTTCATATGACGGTTAACAAAATAAATTACAGAATTTAAAAATACTAATTAAGCACTAAATAATGGGGAAAACCGGATGTTTAGTACTATTATTGTTTTTGTTTTGGAACGTCGCCATTATTTGTTTATTTTTGTTTTTTCGTGAATAACTTTTTATTCTTTAATTCGGCTACGGAACTGATTGAAGCACTAACCTCTACTAACGAAGCACTAAAGAATGATATAAGTTTCATCGTTAGTGCTTTCATAATTTTCAGCCGAAATTTGACCTCTAAAAATTTCTTTTGCGTGTTACAATATTTTCATATGACGGTTAACAAAATAAATTACAGAATTTAAAAATACTAATTAAGCACTAAATAATGGCGAAAACCGGATGTTTAGTACTATTATAGTTTTTGTTTTGGCACGTCGCCATTATTTCTTTTTTTCGCAAATAACTTTTGATTTTTAAATTCGGCTACAAAACTGATTAAAGCACTAACCTCTACTAACGAAGCACTAAAGAATGATATAAGTTTCATCGTTAGTGCTTTCATAATTTTCCAGCCGAAATTTGACCTCTAAAAATTTCTTTAGCATTTCACAATTTTTCCATGTGACAGTTAAGTAAATTAATAACGGAATTTAAATACACAAATTAAGCACTAAATAATGGCGAAAACCGGATGTTTAGTACTTCTATAGTTTTTGTTTTGGCACGTCGCCATATTTTTGTTTTTTCGTGAATAACTTTTTATTCTTAAATTCGGCTACAAAACTGATTAAAGCACTAACCTCTACTAACGAAGCACTAAAGAATGATATAAGTTTCATCGTTAGTGCTTTCATAATTTTCCAGCCGAAATTTGACCTCTAAAAATTTGTTTAGCGTGTTACAATTTTTTCATATGACGGTTAACAAAATAAATTACGGAATTTAAATATACTAATTAAGCACGAAATAATGGCGAAAACCGGATGTTTAGTACTCCTTAGTTTTTGTTTTGGCACGTCGCCATTATTTGTTTATTTTTGTTCTTTTCGTGAATAACTTTTTATTCTTTAATTCGGCTACGGAACTGATTGAAGCACTAACCTCTACTAACGAAGCACTAAAGAATGATATAAGTTTCATCGTTAGTGCTTCCAAAAGTTCGGCCAACTTCACGCCTAAATCGTGACGTCATAGTTTTTATTTTGCTAATAACTTTTTATTCTTAAATTCGGCTACGGAACTGATTGAAGCACTAACCTCTACTAACGAAGCACTAAAGAATGATATAAGTTTCATCGTTAGTGCTTTCATAATTTTCCAGCTGAAATTTGACCTTTAAAAATTTCTTTAGCGTGTTACAATTTTTTCATATGACGGTTAACAAAATAAATTACGGAATTTAAATACACTAATTAAGCACTAAATAATGGCGAAAACCGGATGTTTAGTACTCCTATAGTTTTTGTTTTGGCACGTCGCCATTATTTGTTTTTTCGTGAATAACTTTTATTCTTAAATTCGCCTACGGAACTGATTGAAGCACTAACCTTTACTAACGAAGCACGATAGAATGATATAAGTTTCATCGTTAGTGCTTCCAAAAGTTCGGCCAACTTCACGCATAAATCGTGACGTCATAATTTTTATTTACCTTATAACTTTTTTTATAAGGCGGTTAAGTAAATTAATAATGGAATTTAAATACATTAATTAAGCACTAAATAATGGCGAAAACCGGATGTTAAGTACTACTCTAGTTTTTGTTTTGGCACGTCGCCAATATTTGTTTATTTTTGTTTTTTTCGTGAATAACTTTTTATTCATAAATTCGGCTACAAAATGGATTGAAGCACTAACCTCTACTAACGAAGCACTAAAATGATATAAGTTTCATCGTTAGTGCTTCCAATCGACTTTTAAGCATAAAGTTGGCACAAATTTTTATTTTTGCCTCTTTTTTTCCTTAAATTCGGCTACTATACGGATTGAAGCACTAACGAAGCACTAAAAAATGACATATGATTCATCGTTAGTGCTTCCAATCGTTCGGCCAACTTCACGGAGCTGTGGATGTTTGTTAGATTCTAATTTAGAAAATTTATTACTTTTAAATGCTAATAAAAGGTTATAAATATTTTGATTTTTATCAAATTTTTCACAATTATTTCAAAAAGGTAAAGTAAATTAATCAATTTTCAATATAAAAATTTTATTTGCTCTACTTTGGTATAAAATTATTGGTCATCTTTTACTCAACAAACCAGCGTCTACATGACAGTATATTCACTGGATGCAAATCCCCCTCAAAAATATATATCTACCCCCCTAAAAATACCAAAAGGTTATCCATAGATAATTTAAAAATGTAAAGGGAAATTTTCTAGATTATTATAGTCTACCCCCCAACATTCCTTCCCCTTTATAGATATTAGGATGCAAACTGTTCCTACCCCCCCCCCCCCGCTCATGTAGACTGCAACAAACAATCAAAAAATGTTTAATCAAATTCAAAGTAAAATGTTTTGATAAGTCAATAGCAACTATAAAGATTATTTTTTTAAGGTGATTTAGATCTATTTCAATTGATGATTTAAATTGCTATAAGGATGAATGATAAATCAATGTAATAACTAAATTGATAGAAAGAGAATAAAGGTTTTTATGAGAACAGAAGATTAATCATTTTTATTTCAAAAAAGCTGAGAGACCTATTAAATGAATAAAATATAAAAGTCCAATTATATATAAAAATCAGTGGTCTGCAATACAATCAGCGTCTACATGAGCGGGAGGGGTAGGAACAGTTTGCATCCCATTTTTTTTTGGGGGGGGGGGGTAGGGGGTAGGCTGCTTTAATGGGGGTAAGATAAATTTTTTGAGGGGTTATGTATTAAATTTTGAGATGAAATAGGACAAAATTTATTGCTGTAAAAATTAATACTTTATCATAGAAATATTATAATACAATTCATCGACCAAATATATATTGCAAACAATCATACACATTGTTTTCCAAAAAAACTCATTTAAAAGGTTTAGAAATTTTAGCAAATTGTAAATAATGAAGGTTTTAATTGCATTTATTATCTAAAAAATAAATTCTCTATATTCACAAAATATCGATAGTTGGTAGTAGAGATAGATTAATTTAAGTAATCCTTTATAAATTCTCTGAAAAGAGTATCAATAAATTAAAAAGGTAAAAAAAAAATAGGAAAACACCGCCGCCGAAGGTGGTGTAATTTTTTTTAGGGGGGTAGGTAAAAGTTTTTGAAGGGGTTTGCATCCAGTGAAAATCCTGTCATGTAGGCGCTGAATACAATTATGATTTAAATTACTTTGATAGTCTCAGGCGCAGAAGATGTTCTTGTGATACACAAATTTAGTGGCAACATGCCAATGAGATTTAATGAAGATTATAAGAAAGCATATCACATTTACATATTAAACAACTCTAGACATATTATCGAAATCTCGAGGCTTAGACAATATTTCTGGCTAAGAGTTAGCCGTTTTAAAAAATCGGCTCAAAAGGAGCCGTTTAACAACATTATTTTTATATTAGTGAATAAAATAAACTTAAAAACGATAATAGGAGTATATTTTTCCATAGTCGCGTTTACTAGAGGATGTATATTTTCTAAATCATTTTTTTTTAAAACTTATCGATTTATTTTCCTTAACATTTGAAGCTATTTACATTTTTTAAAATGATTTATAATATTATCTAAAATATTATTACGCGAGCCAGGAATTCGTTAATAGATGCCCAAACATTTTTTGCAATCCAAATCTCCCAGGCTTGCTTAATATTTTTTGGTTTTAAAATATTAGGTTTTTAAAAAAATCGAACCGTTTAACAACACTACTCAAAATGCACGCGGGAAGTAACGTAATTTTTGTAAAATGTTTTTGCTATTCTCCAACTCTGATTACAGATCACATATGTAGAAAAGTGTATATTTATAAATGAAATCATTTATACTTTATTTTTATTGTATTTTTAGATTTTATATCAAACGTTATTTTAGAAAAAAAAATAATAAACAGAGAAAGCGACTTGTTTCTTGAAAAATTTTTAAAATAAATTTATTTGACAAAATATAATGATATCATGTTTAAAATTTTAAGCCCAACCAAGATCCGCTCAAAATTTTTAAAAAATTTATCCTAACCCAGCCCGAACCGAAATTATTTTTAAGAATAGACCGGCCGGGCCGTGATTTCCAGATATCTTCTAATTTTAACTAAATTGTGGCTCCGTGGCCACACAAATGACATAATATATACCTAGACCGATAAGTCATTTATTAAAATGCATTTTTGAAAAGTTATTGAATGCAAATCAGCTGGTAAAACGCCGTGTTGCTTCCCATGTAAATATATTTGCATGGGAAGGAAACTATGTTGTCACCAGCTTTTCTATTGATAAGTATATAAATGAATGATCAAACTTGGTAGAAAAATATCATTGATTCCATATATAAACAATAATTTTTTGGTTCACTTATCACATTATTATTTTCTCTACACGCACAAATAATGATAAAGACATCTCGTTTTCTCGCATTCTTAAGCTTCAAATATCCCCGAACCATAATATTTTGTTGAAAATATTCAAACTATTTTATTTAATATTATTTATAATGTAATTCAATTTTTTTGGTCATTATATATATAGCGCCCCTAAAGAAATAATAATATATTTGTAAAGATAAAATAAATTTGGTTAAGAACCCCCTTTTTAAAAAAAAATTTCTTTATATCACAATTAATTTTTTCAATAAAAAAAATAACAGCAATTTACATTATGTTATTAAATTATAGGTTACAAAATAGTATTGTATTGGTGTATTAGTTATTAAAAATTAGTAATGTTTTATTGACAATAAGCGTCTAAATTTGTATCTGCATCAACAAACATAGCTGAGCAAGTTCCATTGCAATATTCAGGCGTGCAAATTATGCGTGAGACGTTACAAGAAGTGACTGTTTTGCAGAGATTGCTACAGTTGTCGAGCTTAGAGTCCTCGCAAAACCCAAGATGTTTACTGATAATAAAATTCTGAGTATATTGACTATGACCAACTATTGTAATAAAAAAAGGTTGCATTATCATGGATTGAATAAATGGGTAAGAAAATAGTTTAAAATAAATAAGACTTCAATTTCTTAGTATATATATATCAGACATCTGCAGGTACCATTTAAAAGGCCCTACCTGGCTTTTTTTAAAAAAATTTGCCCATTTTTAAAGATACATTACTATAATTTTTAATTTTTATAGTTAATAATGACAATTTAAAATATACACCTGGCCCGAGTATTTTTTTTTTAAATATATATTTAGGCCAGGCCTGAGTTATATTTTCTTCACTCGGCAGGCCAAGGACCTCGTGTGACGTGTTTAGGGGGCACCAAACTGAAGATGTCACCAAATCCTCCTTTGCTATCCAAGAACTCTCTTTTTGCGAATAATATATGTTTCTTAAATGTTTTAATACTAATTCATATCTATACAACATACTGTATATAATACAGATACAATATATATAATATTAATATTCAACATATCAATAGACTTAGGATTTTAAATAATAGTGCTCGATGTTGATGCGCTATGTTTATGATGTTCATTCTCATAAATTGGCCTGTTTTAAATAGGAAATTTTCCAACCAAATAAGTTGAGGACTATAATAAAATAATTTTTATTGCACTCTTAAACAAAGATTTCTGGTGTGTAAATTTAAATTATGGCATAAAAATATATATTAATTAGCCTCCTTTGAGTTTGATTTTCTTTAGAAACATATAAAATACCTTATTAAACATAATATATATCATCTTTCACTATCTTGTAATCTAATATTGTTGACTGTTTCTTCAGAGATCCATTTCAACAAACATGGGTTTATAATCCTAATATAACATTTTGAATTTGATTTTCAGTAGATTCATCTTTAGGTATTTTTTTTTAAATATATCATCATAACCTGAGTACACTATTATTGAGCTATCCTATAATAAGACAAAGATTTTTAAACAGTGAAAGAATTTAACCTCTCCCAATGTTTGTGCCTATTTTAAAGATGAATTGCCTGGATTTCCCGGAATTAATTTCCAAAGAAAAATAAATTATTAAATAAAGAATCATTTGATTAAATAATATAGAAATTTATATTTAATCTTCTTTTTTTCTAAAATATTGATTTTTGCAAATATAATTTATTATATTGAAAAAAAATAAAATTAACGGGTTAATTAAAGTGTGCCTTTGTCCCGCGCTTCCTTGTTTTTCAATATCAATTTTAATCTCGAATAGTTCACGAAACTGACTTTTATAATATAGTATCGATATACAAATCACTTTGTCAAACGGCTCGTTTTGAGCCGATTTTTCAAAACGGCTAGCTCAATATTTTGGCTAGAAAAATATTATCTAAGCTTCGATATTTCGATAATACATGTCTAAATCTTTATTCCAACTATGAGCAAAATCTTCAGACTTGCGTAATATCTTTCTGGATGAAATATTGTGTTAGCCGTCTTTAAAAAACGAGGCGTTTAACAACATTAATCTATATTATAATTATATGTTTTTAATAAAGATTATTGTCATAATTGGGAGACTTTGATTTGTAAAATTTGATTTTTGAAAGTCAGTATGTATTGCATTTGATGAGTCATTTTTATTTTTATAATTTTATGTTTTAGTTAAATTGGTGAGTCATTGTTATTTTTATAATTTTATGTTTTAGTTTAATCGCGTTAACATTTTATTTTTAGATTAATAAAAGTTAATTATTGTAAAGTCATTATGATGATGGGGTTTAATTATTTATTTGTGATGATTATTGCTTCCCTATAAAGGGAAGCGAAAATTGTAAATAATCAATTCATTTTTTTTTTGAATTCATTTTATTTTTGAATTCAATTTTTTTTTTGAATTAATTTATTTTTAACAATTTTTTTCGTTTTAATTATTATTATTAAATTATTATAAAATTATATGAATTTTTAAAAAAGTTAGGATAGCTTCTTAGGGAATAGGCTTCCAATGAAATTGATAAAATTCAATTTATGAATAGCAATGGAGAGTTTTTGCCTAAGGTAAAAACCTTCCTTGGGTTCATCAGTGATACGAATAAGGGAACCGAGTTCCATGTATGTAGAGAAGATTGTATGTATAAAAATGTGTTCATTGGATACTTCCGAATATCCATTAATTTTGGATAGCTCTTTGATATCCAAGATGCTTGTTATAAGATTTGTAGGGGCTAGGAGATCTATACAAGAAATTGAATTCTCTTCCAAAAAATCTGGATATTGCCATCTGGAAGTTAAATCTAAAAAGACGACTAGGGTTGGATTGGGAATATGAGCAGATTAGAGGCCACCTTGAATAATACCATTACAATAATTGTTTCTAAGAATAAGCCCTTTGGAGTAACGATAGTGCAGACTATGTCGTCCCTTTAGGCCAACAGGATATATCTAGAGCTAAGGTAAGGTTGGGTAATTGAACCATTGAAACGGATTCCAATGGCATGAGTGAGTTCATTTTTGGTAAGTTGTAATTGAAGATTAACAGATGGGATAGCCTTAAGGAACTCGGGGCCAAAGTCATTTAGAAGTGACAAAAAGAAACGACGATTTTAGGATTGCATGCTTGATAGAAGAGTTTCGACGCAACAGGCAAAAACTCGAATGTCCTATTCCTTTTGTTTGCAAGTAGCAGGTAAAGGAGTGTCAATTCGAGATCTCCATATAATGCCTTAGTGTACGTCGAATCGTCCACAGGAGATTGAGCGGATAGGTTTTGTTAATAAGCAAAACTTGAATGAAAAGTAGTTAAAACCAAACCAGAAGGAGATCTGATGCCAAGACCGCCAAATTTTGTTGGGAGAAAAGCTTAAGCAGAAGCAATTTTTCCGAACTTTAGGTTTAGGATCTCTTTGGAAAGTTACTTGATTCCCGTTTAAATACATTTATAGACCAGGATATTTAAAAACTGCATTAGTCCTTAGAGCTTAAAGAAGGCGCGATATATTATAAATGTTTTATCAACAATAGGTATAGATGTAAGTGAGTTAAAACCATAGAATAGACTGCTTAACGATTAGAAAAATAAGGTTAAATATTTCATGTATTTATGAAAATACGCATATAAATATAAGTTGCAAGATATAAAATTTACCAAAAAGATACAATATTAAATAATTAACTATTGTTTACATATACAGAGTTGCAGGTGTTTTATTTGGTGATACATTAAAAACAAAGACTATTAAGTGGTATAATAAATAGGTTTGAAGTGTTTTAAAAACAGAAATACCTCATTTATGTATTAAGAAAAATATTTATTAATTAAATAGAAATCTCTCATAAAACTTTTTAATTACAAAAAAATAATTTTTTAAATTTAAAATGTTTAATATTAATAATATTTTATCCAATAATACCAATAATAGTTTTAGAAATTCCTCTTTATTTAATAATAATTCCTTTTTATCTAATTATTCCTTTTCCATTCCAACATTTTCGCAATCTGCCATATGTGCCAATTATACTATAATAAACCCTATAAACTAACCGGCAATTCAAAACCCAAAAAGGAAATATAATTGTTGGAATAAAGAGAAAATTAATATAGTAACAAAGTTGTTATCCCATCCCGATATGGAGAGAATGAAAATAAAGGATATTGCTAAACATATTGATATGTCAATCGCCTCGGTAAACAAATTAAGGCAAGAACCTCTCCAGAATTTATAGCAGGACTTGAAGCAATATCAAATCCAAAAAAAAGGATGCAAAAAAAGACACATCTGAGATCGAAAGAAAGGTGATAAATCTTTTAATGGATAACAACACGTCTACTATCAAAGATATCATAAAAAATTTGCCTCCAGGTTTCTTAAAAAATGAGGGTACCATCCGAAAATATATTTTAAAAAATAGGATGGTCTAAAAAATGGGCTGGGAAAGAGCCCAATCGACGAAATACACCAGGAGCAATTCGTATTCGTCAGTCTTATTGCCTTAAAATGATAAACATTCCTATGGAAAAAATGTTTTTTCTGGATGAAACTGGCATAAACACATGTCATACCTGTGTATACTTGGGCCCTCCCCCCACAATGTCACACCAACTGTGATAGTTCCACCTTCCAAAGGCTAGAACGTTAGCATTTTATATAGGATAGGAATTAGGTGCCTTATAACCTATTGAATTATTGAAGGACCTTATAATGGGGTGCTTTTTCTTGATTATCTGAGAGAATTAGTAACAATTCTTACAAATGATGCAATTATCATTATGGATAATGCCGCAATACACAAGTGGCATCTTATCGGTAGCTATAAAAATCGAATTGAATATCTTCCGCCATATTCACCTCAATTAAATCCTATTGAAAACTTTTTCGCAAATATAGGTCTATCTCTATACCAAGGCCAAACAATAGAGATAAATCGTAAAAAATGTTACTTCGATATTAAATCGGTATATACCGTACGATTTTACAAACATTTATAATCATATGCATGATTTTTTGGAACTTGGTTATCGGGGACAACTAATCAATTAAAAGTAATATAAATTTATTTATACAATATTTTAAATATATATTTATCTTTTCTCTATTTATATAAAATAAAGATGCAAATTTCGGAACACTCAAACAACTAAACGGAATACAATTTTAAAATATAATATTTTCTCACAAAATTAAATCATTATGTAAATTATTATATGTGTTTGTACTTGTAATTATAAATTATTATAATATATAAAAATAAAATATTCAACTATATTTGAAGAAAAAAAATATTAGAAATTTATATTTTCTAAATTTAAAAAATAAATATTTTAATAATTGGTTTGCTATTCAAAAAAAAATTTTTATATTTCGTTCTTCCGAAAAAAGAATGGCATTTACATTTATTATAAAATTTTTAATTCCGATTTTTTTAAATTAAAATAAGGTTTATAAAAAATTTCAAAAAAAATCACTTAAACTATTTTTTTCCTAATACATAAATGAGGTATTTCTGTTTTTTAACACTTCAAGTATCACCAAATAAAACACCTGCAACCCTGTATAAAAATATAAAAGATTAAATATAAATATTAAACAATTTTTATATTAATGATATTTAATAAGAAAATAACAAAAAAATCCTCGCAAGATGGAGTATTTTTAAAAAATTGATTTATATATCGGAAAAATAATAAAAATATATAAAAAAGAAGACAAATAAAGTATTATGCACATTTAACAATAATAGTAGCTTAATTTACAATAAAATATGAATATATATTTTATAATATAAATATTATAAAATGACATAAATTTAAAATTAATGTAAAATTTTTTTTGTTCAGCATAAATAAGGATATATCTTTTCCATATGTATGAGCATATTTATATATTTTTTGTTTTTACTAATAATTACGTTCTTAAATTTTCTTAAACATTTATTGGGATGTAATCTTAGGGCGTTTCTTATAACTCTTAATTGGAATAATAAATAAAATCTAAATAAAAAAATGGGTTTCCATTCTAGCGGGGTATTCATAAAAAATAATTATATATATATTATTTAAATTAACAAACTTTTAGGGGCTCCGAATTTTTTTAAACCAGTTAAATAGGATCCTAAAGCTAAAACATTTTGAAAAAATGTAGCTAAAACTCCCGCAGCAGGTTCTAAAGGGGTAGCTGCTAAAGTGGTATAATCTGAATAAACAGTTACATTTTTAAAGCTTTATTGTAATGAATATAGTTTTAAAATATAATATTCTAAGTTATCGCATAGGATTAGAATCCTGTTATTATATTAGCTATCTAAAATTATAAAATAACATTTAAATTTACTCTTCGGTGATCCTGCTATTTGTTTTAAAAAAAAGATGAAAATTAATAATGATAATTGTATTCATTTAAATTTAGCTCTATTCGCTTTTACTTAATAGTTCTTAGATAAAAATTCATAAATTCGAATGAAGACGTAGAAAATAAAAGTTAAAAAATTATAAACGCTTAAACTTAAAAATAAAATAATTTGGCCATAAAAAAAAATCGATCTTTTAGTTTGGCTTATTTATTTTGCTTATTAAAAGCCCCCCCCCCCCTTCTCCCCTAAAAATTTTTTATATTAATATTATATTATTTGCTACAAAAATATAAGGAAGCTTGCTGAGTAAGAGTTTGTTTTTCGTGACAAAATTTGAGGGACATTTACTTTATAATGAGTTATAAACCGATTATACAGTTTATATTTGAATTTATGTATTAGAAATTGTCAATATAGTTAAGTCATAATAAATTTATCAAACTTAAGATATTCTTAAATAACTCCTAGAATAATTTTTACGAAAATATTTAATTATCTCCCCAATATTACCTGAGAAAACGTTCATTTAAAAATAGCGTTGACAGTCTTAAATTTTTTAACCATTTAAAATTTGATATATATCAAAAAAATATTGGAAGTATAGATTAACGCACAAAAATATTCTAGAGAATTAGATGGGAAAATATTAGTATGGGTCTATTCATTATTTTGGAAATGGCAGAGTTTTCTGATTCAATTTTTTGGGTGTATTATTATAATATGTGGTATAAGTTTGCATGAAAATTTTAATATTTGTGTATATTTTTTCATTCTTAAATATTCAAAAAATAGGAAAGGGAGAAATAAATCAACTTAAAAATGGTTAATTAATATTTTCTCTATAAAATATTTAAATTTATTTGGCGGGTAAGTAGTTCCAAATTATTCAATTTACAAGTAGAATAATATTATTAAAATAATTATACGACAAATAAAAAATATATTATCCTATTGGAATAATTCAAAATTTTGTTAATTTTCAATATTTCTTAATGAATTATATATACTTTGTAGGAAACACGTTTTTAAATTTAGAAAATTGTTGTAAAATAGTATTATTACATTCTATATAATTTTATCTAATATAAAATGACAATCAAATATGTATAAATAAATATCATAGATTCATAGATAATATGTTTAATTTTATATAATATTTTATTACAATATTATATGTTATACATATCAAACATCAATATGATGTCATTCATTTTTTCGATTTATTTAAACCATAGAAAGAAGTTGGAATTCACTTTGTCATAAACTGAATGTATCTTTGTGATACAATAAAATTATTCGTAGATTATATGTTTAATTTAATATATTATTTTATGACAATATTATATGTTACACATATCAAACATCAATATGATGTCAATTTTCGATTTATTTAAACCGAAGAAAGAAGTTGGAATTCACTTTGTCATAAACTAGATGTATCATTGTGATACAATAAAATTTTAGTCATTGATATTTTCGATTTTAATGATTATATGCATTTTCTTTCTGCGGCAGCAATGAATCTCTTATTTGATTCACTATATATGTATTTTAAAAAAAAGATATAAATATCAATTATTTTATTTGAATTAAAATGTTATTAGTGTTAAAACAAAATAACAAAATTAATAAAAATATTTTAAAAATAAAAATAAATAAATGCCAAAGGTGAGAGAAATGATTAATAAAAAAAAGTCAGTCAGTCTATAGATATTTTTTTAAATGGGTATTTTAAAAAATTTAGGAGTTTTATGGGAATTTTAAATTAAAAAAGTATATAGACATTATGCAAATTATATAAAATACAATTAAACAGTTTATTTATATTTTTATATAATTTGCATACATAAAACTTAATTCAAATTTTGAGCTGCTTTTTCGCGAATTTTATTTTAGAGGCATAGCTCATGAAAAAAATGAAAACAGTGATAATATGATTTAAAAATATGCATATTTTTTAAAAATGCGCCTCCTTACACAGGCCCTTCCCTGTAAAAATTTATAATTATTGTCCGATTTCAAAGTTTTATATATGGAACTTAATTCACTTATTAATCATTAATATATTGTTAATTTGAAATTTAGTTATACTAAAAAATACATTCCTTTTTTAGATAATTTGAAATTTGGTATTGTAGTTGGCGTGGCTAAAATAAATATTAAAATGTAATTTTGCCTTAAAATTAAATTAAATATTTTAAAAAATATCAAAGCGTGAGTTATTTTATGTGATAAATATTAAATATTTTTCTTTGGTTAAAATCTTTTGAATAATCATGCTTCCCTTAAATAACTGAAAAAATTTTCAATTAAAGAGATAAAATTATTACAATTGCAAATGAAAATAATGTGTTATTTCAATTGCTAATTGTATTTCATTTTTTTCAGTTTCCATTTAATAATAATAATAGCACTTATAAGTAGAGGAGAGATAAAATTAAGAAATAAATATTAACTTAGTTTATAACCATTATTCTAAATTCCAAGCGATATTGTTAAAAAAAACCTGAAAAAATTTGTATAAATAAAAAATCTCAATAAAAATCTAGGTAATTTTTTAATAAAAAACTCGGGGTAATTTTTATTAATATTTTTTTTATAAAATAATAAATATGCGATATTATGGATATGGATGGAAATTTTTTGATGTAATAATAATTCAAACAAAGTAATTTCACATAAAAAATGGAAAGGTGTGTGCTATAGAGATCTGCAAAAGTAGGCCCGACCCGTAGCCAGGCTCGGGTTTATTTTTTTAAAAATAAATCTGGTTCGATCTGGGCCGGGTCTAATATTTTTTTTTAAAAATCGGGCCGGGTCGGGTTGAGCTGGAATTTTTTAATATATATAAATTTATCAATTTTATGTTGAATTTTTAATGTAAAATAAAAATATTAGATTTTATTTATAGAAACTAGACGCCATATAACATATATCATTTATTTTGAGTAATTATAAAAATTAATTTTTATGTTTAAATAAATTCGGGCTAGGCTGGTAAATTATTTTTTAAAAAATTTCGGGCCGGACCGGGCTTGAAAGATTAGGCCCTATGCAGATCACTAGTGTGCTATAAATGCTATTAAGTTAGGACTACAATTTTTTTTATAAAGTTTCTGCTATGATTGACCGAGTAATGATCATTTTCAGATTGTTATAACGTGAATAAATATTAAATTTAAAGATTTATGCGATAGCATATTTATTATTTTTAAATAAAAAAAAATTTTTTTTTTAAAGGAAATAAAACTCGCTATATATTTAAATATCCACAATAAAAGATTTAGCTAAGTTATTAATTGTTTCTAAAATAAAGAGACTATAAAGTATATAATATATATTTAAAAAGATTAGAGCATTTTTTTTAGAATTTTTTTTAAAAATGTACATTAGAATTGAAAGTAGTCTTAAAAAATTCTAGCCAGATTAATATTAACTAAACCTCGGGATCCCATTCAGAGTTGCTCATATCTTTTTCCCCTCTATGACAAGATTTCCTAGGTTTAATAGATATTATTTTGGTCAAAATCTTGATTTAACCATTTTTAAAAAACGGTTAAATTGATCCGTTTATTTATTAGAAATTATAAAGTCTGCAATTTTTTGTTTGTCCGTAATAGGCTTAGCCATTGTGGCTAATTTAAATATATAAAAACATATTATACTAAGCTAATAAGCAATCTCAATAAAACTTTATGCCAGGTATATTAGGAATGTTTAAAATATCAGTTTCTCCTTCAAATGCCATCAAACAATTTCTCATAATATTTTTTGGAAATTCGGTTAACAATTTCTATCTAGGTAGAATTTAATATCAATCGTATTTGCCTATATGTTATTTAGTTATTTTTAAATGGATTTTACGCGAAAAGCATAAAAACCCATAAATGCCAAAAATTTTGATGTATTTTCTTTCTGCGGCAGCAATGAATCTATTTTTATATAATTTACATTAATAATATCTGTTTCATATTTTTACTGCTTATCGAATTTGTATTTTAGAAATAAATGACAAAAAATTAGCGCATGAAAAAAAAAGTGATAATATGATTACCCCATCCCCTTCCTCTGTAAAAATCCCTTATTGTATGATTTTGACTTAAGTTTTAGTTATAGAAATTAATTCACTCAGCAATATAAGTCATTAATATAATATAAATTTACGAAATTTAGTCTTACTAAATAATGCATTCTTTTAGAGACAAATTGAAATTTGCATGACCTAGTAATGTAATTTTGGGGCTAAAATTTAAAATATAATTTTACCTTAAAATATAAAATATAAAGGGAAATTTCAAAGCGTGAGTTATTTTAAATTATAAATATATCAAATCTTTTTCTTAGGTTAAAAACTTTTGAATTTTATTTCCCTTAAATAACTGAAACTTAAACAAATTTCTCGTAATCAATTAAAAAAAATTAAATTATTTCAATTGGGATTGGAATTAAAATAATGTGTTGCTTTTCAATATTAGTATTTCATTTTTTTCAGTTGCTATCTAATAATAATTAGAATACAATAAGTAGAGGAGAGAAATAAAATTAAGAAATGACTATTAACTTAGTTTTATAACCATCTTTTGAATTCCAAATTCACGTATTGAATTAATATTGTATATATTAATTTTCAATTAAATCAATCTTAAATTGATCTCCACAAGATTTGGATTCTACGTAGTCTCAAATTTTAAATAAATTAAAACTACCGAAGGGATGGGTGCTAGAAAATATTATTTAATTTTCCCAAAATACTACAATTTTATAATTATTCTAGTATGGAAATAATGTACTTTTCTTCTGGGCATAGTCTTCTAAAAAGGATAGGAATTTTAGTCATCATTACTTTTCGAATAATTATTTATTACCTATTATTTCAGTTAGCTTTCCTGCGAATAATTTTAAATATATATAATTGTAGAAAGTTATAAATTCATAATATAGATATAAACTTAAGGTGTGTAATAGAATAGGGCCCTGTTAGCAATTAAATTTAATAGTTCTCAATTATTCTAAAATTTGAATGAGTTTTAGAAGATTTTTCTAAGCATATATATATAATAGTTAAATATAATTAAAATGGGGTTATTTAAAAGAAATTCCATTAATATAAACAAGGTTTAAATTTAACCAATCAAAAAGTATCTTTCCCCAGGTTGGACTCATTTTATCCCAAAAAAAGTTAAATTTATTTTGAGAATAAAATATAAAATATTTTTCATTATGATAATTATTAGTCTCTTAAGATCCTTTTCGTTAACCTTGTATATAATCCCTTCTATTATGAGGATCATTTTGATTATTCAAACAATGACATTAGTATATTAGTTTAGTCTGACGATTCATTGATTAAAGTTTTAGATAGGAGTCAGCTGAAGGCTCATTTTGGGTCTATTGATAATTGTTAAACTATGTATGTCGTATTGGGATATAGAACTCATTGGGAATAAAATCTCTCAATTTTAAATAATTTACTGAGGCCATTTTTAAATTTGAAAATAACCAGAGATGTATTTCAACATGTATAGAGTACCCACACTGTCAAAGATATTTTGAAATACTTTTAATTTGTATCTATTTTCTATATTTATTTTTTATCTAAATTATAAACACAAAGGCATATTGTTAAAATTGATTGAAATTTATAAGGAAGGTATTCTAGACATGCTGGAATAACAATATAGTTTATATTGGCAGTATCCACCTAATATTCAAAAATGGGTACTTTAAAAATTATTCTCCTATGTTTTAAAATAAATGAGAATCATACACATTCTAGGCATAACGTGCAGGCCAGGTCCTTCGTCACGGGTGTAAAATATTTTTAAAAAATCCCTTGGCAGGGCCGCATCACATCTCATATATTTACTTTTTATTATCTTTAAAAAAAATATTATTCAAATTGATTTATTCAAATAATCAACATTTTAGGTGATATTTAATCAAATTAAAAGCAACAGAACTAAATATTTAAAATATTTATTTTATAATTTTAGATAATTATCATTATCTCTCAGAATAACTGACATTTATATAATAGACTATATTAAATTATTAGGAGAACAGTAAATAAGGGAATTACCATCGACCAGTCGAAAGTGATATGATTCAAACCCACTCCTTTTACGACAAATGGGGAGATAAGATTTGAAAAGATAAGGATTTCATATGAAAAACAATTCATAAAATGCCAAAGGAATATTAAAAATTTTTTAAAAATCCAAAGCTGTAGAAAAAAATTTTGCCCACCCTTACTAAATGTTTTTCAAAGAAATTTATGCCAAAATATTTTGTTTTTCGGATCGGACTGGGATAATTTTTCTTAAATCTAGCTTGGGCCCAGCCATGGTGCCTCTGATCTCTGATATATGGTCAATTTTATAATAATAAGATATATATTCCCTCTTACACCAATAATGTAAAATCAAAATTTATTACTTAATTTCGAAATACTGTCTAAAATAAAACATAAATTATTAGTTCAGGAATTTATAAAGATATTTCTTATGTTTCTACTTATTCAATACAAATTAGTTACAGATGAGACTTATCGCAAATAAGTTAAGTCTACTATAAACAAATTAATAAATCTTTAAACCTAAAAATTTTAATATAAAATTGTATTAATAAAATTTAAATATCCGCCAATGTTCAAACTAGATACGCAAAATCAAAATGCATTACTTTCCGAAATATCCTCTAAAATAAAACATGCTTTTAGAAGGATTTATAATTATATTTCTTATGTTTTTATATTCAACACAAATTTATAGCAGAAAAGTCTAATTTATCGCAATTTCTATAAAAAAGTGAACAAATCATTAAACCTAAAAAATTATAAAATTGTATTCCTAAAATAATATTTATCAATATTCAAACTAGTAAACGGTAATTATTATAAATCATTAATTACATAATAATCAATGTATGTCTTATATTATAAATAATAAAATTATTAAAAAATAATTGCCGCGGAATAATTCTTATATATAATTATTTTGATATTATGAATAATTATCATATTGAAATCTACAAATTTTTTAATGCTAGCAACAAATTTTTAAAAAAAATTTCCTCAAATTATTTATCAGATTTTCAATATAAAAAACTAAAAACTGACAAAGAAAATGAATTATGAATTACAATGAGCCATAAATACTCTTTAGAAAAGCAAAAAAGACATAGTAATAACACGATATTATATCTTTATTTAGAAAACTTTGCAAATAATGTAAGCTGCTTTTATTCCTCCTTATCATTAAATCATAAAAGTGTTAAAAAATAATCCTGTTTAATTCAAACAAAGGTTAAAATGAACCGAACTAAGAATGCTGTAGGAATCATATGCATTCGATTATGAATGTGAAGAATAATTTATTCTTAGAACAGCGATTTCCATAGAACATTTTTAAAAGATCTTAGCAAATGGTACGAGGTAGTGCTTCATCCATCCCTAAAAGATTTGAACAACTTCAAACTCAATCCGAATATTTAAAATTAAATTGATGAGCCACAATTCTATTAAATATTAGAGAACTTTTAGAGCCAATTCTTAAATAAACAATTAGTTATAAATAGAAAAATTAAAATTGATACTAAATTATTTTTTATTAGTAAAATTCACCTAATATTTTGAATTGAGCTTCTAAAATATTATCAATTCCAAATAATTTAATAAATAAAACCTTCTGATTTTTTTTTTCAAATAAAGAAGATTATTTCGGTAGTTAGTTCAATTTTTTTTATAAAATTATTGTAACAAAGTTCATTTACTCAATTAAAAAATAATGATTTTTAAAGTTTTCTCGAAATTTTAATGTACATTATTTATATAGGAAACTATGGGTGTACAATTATTTGAATATATTTGTTAATTATTATATTTGAATAGAAAAGCCACATTACCTTTGTTTGTAGATCTGCCTAAAATAAAAGAGAATTTGAATATTAATTACTTGAAAATGAATATATTCTTTTTTAAAAGCTAGAGCAATCTCAGCCAAAATAACAAGATTTTCCTTTAAAAACAAAAGAACCAATAAGTAAGGAAGGTAAATATTGATTTATTTTAGTATTTTATTCGAGTCATTTTTTAAATTTTGTTTATTTTAAAGATATTTAATAACACAAGAATAGATTATTAAAATATCATCAATATTATTTTCCTTATTACTGCTGCTTGTAATGTAAACATAGCTTTTTTTAAACCCGTCATCTTTTTTGTCCAAAACAGTTGCTAACTTTAAAAAATTTTAAATTTATCTCTAATAATGCATTTCAGTATTACAAACAAAATTATTGCCTAATTACATTGAAATATTGCTTATTTTCATATAAAATATCTTAAATTATTTCTTATTAATATTATATAATTACTTAATATTATGTTATATTTCCATTCGTATTATTTCAGTATAATTATGTATAAAATGTTATTGCGGGCTTGGGATTTTTTTAAATTAAATGAGGGCCGGATCTAACCTAGGCCTATAGAATTTCTTGCTAAGGTCTGGGCAGGGCCTAATCAAAAAATCAAGGCTCTTAAAGGTATCTGATTTAGAGTTAGAGTGAATTCATAAATATATAATTAATATTAATTAGCTAAAATGTTTTTATTTTTTTGTAAAAAAAGATAAAGTTTTTATGATTTTGTTATTGTAGTGATGACATTTTTGGGAAATAATTCCATTTAAATTTTTTTAAAAGGATCAAATAATTGTCATTATAAAGATTTAAATATTTATTTCTAGCCTCTAAATGAATAAATATGAAAACATAGTGATGACATTTTTGGGAAATAATTCCATTTAAAGTTTTTTAAAAGGATCAAATAATTGTCATTATAAAGATTTAAATATTTATTTCTAGCCTCTAAATGAATAAATATGAAAACATATATAATGGAAATAAATATTTAAATTTATATAAATAATTTTATTTACCTTGTGACTCGCAGAAAATCAAAACTAGCAAGAGAAAAATTGGTAAAAATTTATTCATTAAAATTGATTTTAAGTAAATATTATTTTTAATTTTTAATATAATAAATTAATTTAGAAAGTTTAAAAAAATTTAAAGAAAAATTATTTAATAAAGATTTTGATAAAACGAGCTAGTATTTATAATATCCTTCAACTGAATTATTATTTTATTTATTTATTATTATTTAATTATGTAATAAAATTTTTGTTTTAATAAAAATGTTCAATCTTCCAAAAAATTCGTTGAATAAGAGATAGAGAAAAAAAAGATATTAAAAATTCTGTGAATTGATAAGGAAAAAACAAATAATATATTTTTATTTTATTATTATGTTTTGTAAAAAAAAAAAATTATTAAAAATTCTACGAATTGAGAATAAAAAACCAATAATATAATTTTATTACTGTTTATTAAATAAAATTAAAATAATTTGATTTTTTAAAAAAATAGATGATATACTCAAATTCATTTTATCGTATCATCAAGTTTTAAAAATACAAAAATGGCTAAATATTAGATTACCTAGCACTTAAAATTGGAAAACAAAACCGGAAGACTATAGGCTGGGTATAATATGGGATTTAAAAATAATAGATACTTTTTTTATATTAAAAGATTACTTGGATAGAATTTTTTTTTGAAAACTATAATAATTTTTTTGTATGTAAAGTTTATTTACACATTTTAAAGAATGATTCCCTTTCGAAATGAAATTTCCAAATTATACAGTAGAGACCTGGCTTGGGTTAGTTGGAAATTTACTCTGTATGAAAATTACTCATTTATTTAGTGATATTGACATTTACGATTGACGTGCATAAATTTAATATTTTATTTTTTAGTAATATTGACATTTTTGACTGAATTGTAAAAATTAAATATAATAAATTTAGCGATATTGACATTTTTAACTGACTTGTAAAATTTAAATTTAATAAATTTAGTGATATTGATATTTTTGATTGACATGTTTTACTCCTTATAAAAATTACTCATTTAGTTAAGGAAATTAACATTTTTGACTGACATATTTTTTTCCTTATAACAACTACTCACTTATTTAATGATATTGACTGACTTGTTTTACTCCTTATAAAAATTACTCATTTAGTTAAGGAAATTGACATTTTTGACTACAATGATTAAATATAATAAATATAGTGATAATAACATCATTATAAAAATTATACACTTATTTGACATTTATGACAATTTTTATTCTCCTTGCAAAATTTATTTATTTATATAAAAAGGTCAAAACTTATCAAAAAAAATATGATATAAATAAGATACGCGATATAATTAAGATATATAATGTAAATAAATACGCGATATAGTTAAGATATATGTTGTGAATAAAATACGCGATATGAATACATATATATTATGTGAATAAAATATGCGATATAAATAAGATTAAATAAAAAATTTTATGCGGTCAAAATGCTTAAATATATATTTACATTAAATTTTTTGATATTATGTAATATTTTTATTGGGGTATAATAAACCCATTTATAAATAGTATGAATAACAATATTTGTCTGAAGCATAGTTGCCATAGCAACTATCTCCACCTCTGTTCCATAAGTTGCATTTAGGGCCATGCCCGTTCTCTCCAAATATACATCAACGGGTTCTCCCAAAAACCCCTCCATCTGTTCAACAATATCTTTGCTTCTCATAAAGGCATTCGTCATCACAAACTTCTTTGCTTATACATCTATAATAATGATTAACAATAATTTATTGTAAATAAAAATACCTGAAGAGACAATTTTTATCACCAATAATCCGTTCGGTAGAATAATCATTTCCAATCACACTCTTATCATATTTTGGATATCTTTTCTTGATCGCAAAATGAAAGCGTTCAGAATGATATATTTTCCAATTTCTGTTAGTAGGCAGAAAAAGATTTGTCTCCTCTTTCTTAGAAATTAAAGTATCTAATATAATTTCACCATCTAAAAAATATGTATTAATCTACTAATTATACAAATCTTTACCTTTCTTATTTTGCATGCCCACTTCGCAATCTACAATCTTCAAATTGTGAGGCTGGGCAACTATTATATTAAAAAATCAATTTTATCGATTCTTAAAAATATTACTATAAGGTCGATGCTCATCAGGCTTTAGCATTTTCAATGCTTCACTGATTGTTTTAACTCCATCATCTAAAAAATATGTAAATTAAATATTTTTTTATTATACCTTTTTTGTTTTGACAATTATAATCCTCTCCAACTATCGTATTTAGTAATTTCAAAACTAGACATTTTATAAAAGATTTAATATTAAATATTAAAATATTACCCTTCATATGATTTTCTTCCGAATTAAGCTTTACATTTTTAATTGCTGGTTCTTGAAAATTTTCTTCATCATCTAAAAAAGGAATATTATTTAATAATTAAGTCAACTGTATACATTTTTAATGGTAGAAGAATAAAACTTTTTACTTAGTAACCTGGGAACTGTTAGGAAGTTATTTTATAAATTTTTAAAAGTTTTAACCTTTTTTCTGTCCTGCTTTAATTGTGTCATCTTGATAAATATATAAATATAAAATTAATTTATTTATAAACTATACCTTTTCTTGTAACATAATGTTTTATGTTACAAATATTTGCTCGGGTTTTTATCTGTTTCCCACAGGCACTCATTAGCTCTACATTGCTTAAATATTATAAATATTTTGTTGTTAAAAATCATAATTTATACTTTTGTCAATCCCAACTATTGTAAAAGGACCCAGCCAAGGCCGTGTCATTTTTCCACCCTTCCTATCAGCTCGACGGCTGTTCCAGATAAACACCTTATCATTGATTTTATAGGGAGTATTTTTCCCAGTATTGCGGGTTCTGTAATCCCTCTGCTGCTTAAGCTGGGCTAAATTAATATTGCCTATGGCAATATTATGTATGTCTTGCATCTTGCAAATAACACTTTAAAAATGTTTTTCCCTATCTATCTTCTCAACATTATCTGGATCTATATCATAATCTTCATCATCCTTAAATATAATTAAGTATAAAATATATAGTATATTTATAATTGATTTATTATACTCCACAAGCTTGTATTGCTTTTCTACCATAGATCAGTTCAAAGGGTGTGAATTTCGAAGATTCATGATCAGATGTGTTATAGGCAAATAATATGCCAGGCAGGGCATCTGTCCAAGTCAATTGATCATCTTTAATACACTTTAGAAGTGCATTTTGGATAGTTCTATTCACCCTTTCAACCATGCCATTTGGTTGAGGGTGATAAGCACTTGTCACCCTCTGCATGGTCCCCACGAGTTTGTGATAATTAGTGCTAACTTCATTCACAAACTCCCGTCCTTGATCATTAATTTGAATCCTAAAACTAAAATTAATATTTATTATCAAATAAATCATACTTTTGCCCTGCGATATGTGCATAGTAATGAATAAAGGAATTTCGATACTGAGTTAGCAGTTTATCCTTTAAAGGCATGGCTACAACATATTTGCTGAAGTAATCAACAGCTACTGCAATATATTTATAGCCATCCTCACTTTCTGGCAAAGTACACAAATCTACTCCTATTTGTGACCATGACTGTTATAAAATTTTTTTTATTTTATTAAAAAGAGTTAATCTTGTTAATTAATTTTAGTGTGGTTAAAAGGTTAGAGATGGGCCAAGTAAAAAAATTCATATAAATTATAACCTGAAATTGTAGAGGCTTTACTATATAAACTAAAATGGATATATCATATATTTCATGTAAAAAGATTCAATGGATAATTTAATAAATTTGCTTACCTACCACTTTATATGGTTCTTCTAATAAGGAAAGAAGATATAATAAACTAACTTAAAATTTAAATAGTTCAATATGTGAAAATAACATAATATATAAAAATAAGTGTCACATATATATAATATTGTCATACCATTAATAAAACTATAAGTAAAAAATATATAAAAAAACATTATATACAGTTTAAATGACTAAAACTATAAAAAATTTAACAAATCAATGATTTTTATATAATAAATTTTACTACTTTTGCTCTAACAGGAATTGATTGTAACTCATTTGTAGTTTTATCAAATCTTGTATTACATCTTTGACAAGTGTCACAGGAATTAATAAATGTGACTACATCATTTTTCATATTTGGCCACCAGAAGCTAAAATATAATATTAATTATGACAATAAATACATTTTACCTATCAGCCAATTTTTTATAAGTCTTGTTAATGCCAAAATGGCCAGCAAGAGAGACTGCTCCAATATTATCATCACAACCACTATGATGTGATTTAATAATTTCTTTTCTCCTAATTATGTTAATAATAACTTCCCCATTATTTTTATGGTGATATAATTTTTCTTTGCACATAGTAAACCTAGATGCTTTCACTCTTAAATTCCTCTTTTCCCCATTGTTCTGCTAAACGGGTGGGATACTTATGGTACATTATGAAGTTTTTAATTTCTTCATAATCTAAAAAAGTTATATAAATATTTAATTTACTTTCTTCATTATCAACTGTCATGGCTAAGAGGAAAATGGTCAAAAATAATAATTTTATAGAAAATTTATTTTTGATTGACAAGTTAGAAAAAATTGAAATCTTATATAATAAAAGGCTCGTCACAACTGTGACATAGTCAATTATTTTACCTGATAATAGTCAATTATAATTTTGTTAATATATTATGTAATATTCAACTTCTTTATTAATTATTAGACGTTTGTCCTACTTAAATAGGGAGTGATTCTTAATATTTAATTAATATTAACAAATTCGGAAGTATTTAAGTTATGTTAAATTGTAGTTTTAATCTCCATGATATTTAGCGCCATCTATAATATTATATTTTAAATAGCATTATATTTCTAGGTTGAAATGTAAATATTTTGTCTTAATTGATGTCAAATATATTGTTCTTTCTATATATCTATAATTTATCTATCTAACTATCATAGCAATTTTAAATCAATTTAGATCATATTAGCAAAATGGATTTAATCTCCTATAAATCATGGAAAGCATTTCAGA